AGAAATTATTAATATTTATAGTACTTAAGCATAGCAAGTATCATTAGATTAATCATGGACTATATTTTACAATACACTTATTTGAAGTTTAAATATTACTAATATTTTTCTATAAATCTAGTTAAATTTAAGAAAGTTTGACATGGACGAAAATCCAGTGAGACACTTGAAAAGAGACGGAGGGAGTATAGTTAAAAAAAAGAAGAGAAGCAGGATTAGAGGACGGACTAGGTTTTCATGCTTTTTGGCTGCCTCAGCAGATTATTATTCTTGCTTTGCTGGTGCACCACCGCCAAAGCACCCACATTCGTATTTCGGCCCTTGACATGTACTACTACATGGTGATGGTGGTGGTGGACATCATTGTCCTTTCCCCTGCCCGCCTGCTTCGGCTTTGAAAGGGCAGTGGGTTGTGTTGTGCTCTCCGTTGGGCCCTGGGCCCTGGCCCTCTTAGCTTTTTTGCCCTTGACATCTTTGGCATAACTGATGATCAGTAGTAGCAATGATTCGGCGTACGTGGAATGTTAGACAGGTATTAGTTGTCCTACTTATCTTAGATAGATGAGTTAAGTTTTTGGTCTCTGTCCCTGATGCTTTGCTTCTTGGGCCATCTAATTTGCTCCACGTTTCTGAGCGAGAATAAACGAACTTCAAGTGGCGAGCACTTGCAGCATTTGGAGGACAATGCCATGCTGGGACTTCCCCCAAATCAGACTCCAGTCGTCATTCACTGCTGATCTGGTTCTCCTCGATCGATCCTGTGGCTTTCAGCATCTTGCTGCTGCGACTTTTCTCAAGTCTTCAATCTCCATGTGCACCGCATGATGCATGAGCAGCTCGTCCGGCCGGCTGGCTTTGGTAGCTAGCCTGATGTTAATGTGCGTGATGACAAGTTCTTGTTGGTCCATGCTCGCAGTACTAGTACTGCTCATGCTGTCCTAGTGCTGTTGAGCCACTGACAATGACATATGCATATATGGCGTTTACACTACTAGACTAGTCATTTCATAATGGCTAGCTCACAAGTGATCATATCGGAGTTTTTTAAATTAATTAAGTGGAACAAACAAAACTTTTTGCGGCCCTTACATTGATTAGAGCTAGTGTACGTTCATCATCTTCACAGTTCTTCATGATTCTCCTCACTAATCAGTTTCTTGGTGACAGACAGTGGCGAGTGCTTTGCTGTGAATATGTTTGTGCTTTGTACATATAGTAGAGTTCCATCACGAGTATGCATCAAAGAAAACGTACATTAATTGGTTCTGTGTAGAAAGAAAAAGGAAACAAAGAATCTCTAGTTGGGGTATATTGCAAATTTGGTACACTTGGCTAAGGTAAGGTGTTCAAAATCTCACACTAGAGAGTCTAGAGAATCTTACCATACTTTTTTTTAGTTTTAGTGAGCGTCACGTATAGAACCTAATTTACTGAAGGGGAATCTTGTCACACCTTGTAGCAGATAACAGTTAAAGTTGGAATAAACGTTCCTAATCTTTACAAGTTATGGCTAGCAACCAAACACCTAATTAACTTACATTTCCAAGCATATATACCATTGAATACAGTCTTGTAAATTCTCATTTTGGCAAAGACAGTCTATAACTGAACTACTGAAGTGGCAGCAGACAAGACAAGCTGTGTTGTCTGATCTTCAGGTGCTCTTTATCCAACATTTACTGTTTGATCGAACTGCTTGGAAATTTCAACGCTGCTTTTGGATCTTTTTTATGCTGTGATGTGATATGCATGGACAGGGCCGTGGACCTTGCCTGGGATCGACCGATAGTGCTCAAAATACGGCCCCTTTTGTTGTCGCCGCTTTTGCGCGCACGCGCATGTGCACACACACGGACACACGCATAGCACCAGGTTCCGGCAGTGAATTCTGAATTGAAGCCCCCCCACACTTCCTGTCGATGCCATGCCCTCGCCGCAGTCTCATTCTCACCCCGTGATCGTGTCGCCGTGCTCCTTCGACTTGACGGCAGTACGTGCGTGCTTTTGGATCGTAACGACGTAAACTGCATCTGGAGTAAAAATCACTGCTCCAGATGCTGTGGATTTCACGTCGTATGTTGCTGCTGCTGCTGCTGCTGTTGTTTAACTTGTGGTGTTTCCAGGTTCCACGAGCTGTCGGAGTTCGACGACATCAAGCGCAGCTGCCGCCTGCGTCTGGCGGGGCACAACGAGCGGCGCCGGAAGAGCTCGGCCGACGCGCACGGCGGCGGCGGCGGCGGCGGCAGCAATGGATTCCGCCAGCACCCCGACCAGAACGGCCCGGCCGGGAACCACTTCCAGATCAGATAAACCTATCTAAGCATGCGCTCTCTCTCTTCTGTCATGCAGCAGAATATGCTAGCACCACTATTACCGATAAATATGTGTGTCGATCGGTCGTCTACCCTGTGTTGCGTACAAATACTACGTGCTAACTTGAATCATGTCGGCCGTAGTGCACATGAACCTCCTGTAGTGGTAGTGTGCTTGTAATGTGCACCGGCCGGCCGGAGGTGTACGTGCCTATATCCCAATCTCTGCGAGAAAACCTAGTTAATTATATATGCTGATGATTGTAACCTAACCTGCAGCCAATTAAGCAGGGACTGCTACGTACTCTGCTAGCGTAATTGTTCGTGTGTGAGTAGTATGGCTCTGGACCATCGGACCTGTGTAATCCTGTGGCCTGTGCAAACAGTAATCTGTGCTGGCTGTGTGTATTGATGCTGCTCTGGTAATCGTGGTAATATATGCTATTTGTTCAAGTAGTAATATATATTGTGTTTAACACATGTCAGTGATTTTGCGCATGTTTTTTTTTTTTTCCAAAGTCGCCTCGATCTATATCTAGATTGTCTACTTGTTGTCAAGGTTTCAGACATACCATTTTATTTCTATCGACCGTGCCGTATCATGTTTTCATTGTAAGCTACCGAGCCAGTCCCAAGTGGAATTGAAGTCCTTTTGCAGTTAAGAAATGCTATACAACACACATGTGTTTTAACAAAAAAAAACACATAGATTTTTTTTTATCTCTCTCCCTCTCTCTTTCTCACCGGTGACCACCGGCGCCGGCGACCCGCGAGCTCGCCCCGGCGCCCACGCCCGCGCCCGGAACGCCTCCCCGCGCCAGCACCGGCCATGGCAGTGGCGGTGGCGGCGGCGGATTTGTGATTTGTCCTTTCATAGAAAAAAAATTGTGATCTGTGATCTGTGGAGGCTGGAGGCTAGAGGTAGAAAAAGGGTGGAGACTGTTGGATCTTAATCCTATGGTGCCGAAAAATTCATGTGTTAAAACTGCATAAAACAAATGATTGTGTAGTAGACAGACTTTTTGCAGTCAGTATCCTGTACTTTCACAAAATGGAATTTTAACATTTTGATATCGATGTGGTGAAGAATGAAATGGCAGTGCAGAAAACCACAATGCCCTGGTAGAATGTTTTCTGTAGTAGGCAACAATGGGTTGCTGGTAAAATAGGCAAGGCATATCTGGAGTACTTGTTGGATGAAAAAAAAAACTAGACCAAGTAGTTCTAGAAAAAATAACTGTACAAATTATTTCAGTAGAAAAATAGCCATGCAAATTGTTTCGGTGGATCAACGAGACTGCGAGAGCACTGGAGGAGCGGGCGCCCTCGTTGTGCACATATGACACACTTCTCCAAATTGGGTTTATCTACGGCCCATGTACTTTGTTGTGCAGTCCAATTCATACGGCCCAATCCAACCCACGCAAACGATTGGAATTTCAATGCATCTAGCATCTTCCACTTGCTCTATAATTCTATGTGGGTGTTTAGATTGAGCTGCTAAAGTTTAGCTGGCTAATTTTAGTCTCATTTAGTTATTTTTATCTAAACACTATGACTAAATGGGACTAAATGAGCATTTAGCCAATTAGTCACCAAGGAGTTGCTAAATGGGACTAAAACCCAGGCTGCCTCACCTTTTAGTCACTTTGATCCAAACCCCCGACTAAAAGGGACTAAAAGACCTCTTTTAGTCTTTTTTAGTCCACCAAACCAAACATAGGTGGCTAAAGTTTAGCAGCTGATTTAGCTGGCTAAATTTTAGCAGCTTTAATCTAAACAGGTCCTAACCCACATCACAGTGTCGATATCTGTGCTAGATGGATGATTTGATGAGAATGAGATAACATAGGGGAGGAAAGCAAGTGAAAGATGATAGATGCATAGAAATTCGGATCATTTATGTGGGTTGGAACTGAAACCTCCAAGTTAATTCTAGCGAGAGACACTAGAAACAAAAAAATATTTAAAAAATCATAAACATTTGGCTTTTCATTTAGTAGACTATCATCATTGCTAATGATAATCACTGAACCTATTCTATTTTATAAAAAATATCCACCTATGAAATTCTTAAAAAACTAAAAATACATAAACCCTTTAAATTTGCATCTAAATTACTTATTTTGGATATGGTAAAAGATAATTTAAAATAACACCCTAAATTTGTGTCTTAATTTCCACTATGTCACTATGTAAGATAGTTTAAAATAAACCCCTAATCTTTATCTAAACTATCCACTCTAACATTATGGAAGATAATGCACAATGACACCTTAGTTTTTGTATATAAATTACCCACGTCGCCCATTATGAAAGATATATAAAGCAACAACTTTAATTTGTATCCAAATTTCGACGTCTACTGTTATAATTAAAATTTCCTTAGGAAACAGAATCCACATTTATTTAGGAAACCGAATCTAGCTTAACAGTCAAACAATTTCACGAAGTGATTTTGATTCACCAAAACGTTTCTTTACATAATCTAGATCTGAAACGTTTCTATGAGAATCTGGAACATTACTAAACACCCCCTTAATTACGCACGGACACAACTAAAAAAGAGAAAATAAAATTATCGGCTAAAAAAATAATAAAACAAAAGCAAAAAAAACGTTGAAACCAAGAAACTCTTTGTGGGTTCAATATTAGGATAGAATAAGATAAGATGAGATAAGATATAGACTATGTTGACAAATCCGTCATGTTCGCTTGAACTGTTTTTCAACCATAGAACAGTATTTTCCTTTCACAATATTTTAGCATAAGCATCAGCATAAACTAAATTTCAGCATAAACGAGCGGTGTCGCATGCCACTTCTGCAGTGATGTTTTTTGGGTGCCGGGTACGTGGCTTTGTAGCATATCCTGCACCACTGCCTGCATGGCAGCGTACGCCGATCCGCCCTTCTCCACAGTCTTCCGGCATGCCGCCTTCATCTTCCTGGCCTTCTCCTTTGACTTCCTCCCCTCCTCTGATCCGCCCATCAAGCTCCGTATCGCTCGCTCCAGCTCCGCTGCCTCCACGAAGTTGTCCCTTCTCGTGCAGACCCTAAGCTCAACAGCGACACCCATGCACGCGACGAGCTCGAACGCGTTAAGCGGCTGCTCGGCGTACAGCGGCCACGGCGCCATGGGCACGCCGTGCCACAGGCTCTCCAGCACCGAGTTCCAGCCACAGTGGGTAACGAAGCCACCCACGGCGGCGTGGGCGAGGATCTCCAGCTGCGGGGCCCAGCTCGGCCACACACACCCCTTCGCCTTCGTCCTCTCCAGAAACCCGTGGGGAAGCAGGTCACCGAGGTTCGCGTCTGTCGGGTTCTGCGAGATGCCGGCCGGTGGGCCGCGCAGCACCCACAGGAACCTGTGCTCGCTGCGCTCGAGGCCGGCGGCCACCTCGTGCGCCTGCTCCGCGTTCATCCACCCCATGCTCCCGCAGCAGAGGAACACAACGGACGCTGGCGGCTGCGCGTCGAGCCACCGGATGCACTCCTGCGCAGACGACCGCCCCCGAGCATCGACGCGCGGCTTCAGCGAGAGCACCGGGCCGATTGGGTAGACCATGGGGGGAGCACGGCCACCGGGCGTGCACCGGCCGCCGGCGATTGACGCAAGAACGCCTGGCTCCAGCTCGGCTGCCGTGTTCACGACGATGCCTCTGGCTTCCAGGAAGCGGCGGCCGTAGTAGGCGAACCACGCGTAGTCGTTCACGTCCGGAGACGGCATAGAGGCCACCGGCACCGGAGGCATCCCTGGCACGTCGACGACCCCTCCCTCCTCCCGCAACGTGGAAGCCAGCTCCTCCTGGATGGCCGGTAAGCACAGCATGAGCGCAAGCGTGGCGCCGGTGGACGCGAAGTATACGTAGGCCGGCACGGCGAGGTCGTGGGCGACGTTGAGGAGCGGGGTCCCGAAGAAGTCGACGACGACCGCTGCCACCGGGGCCGCCAAGCCCGTGATGGCCGCCTTGACATGCGGCGCGTAGAGCCGGATGTACTCGGACGGGTGGACGAGGTCGGTGCGGTGCTCGATGGCCGGGAGGTGGTGGAAAACGATGCCGTCGCCTGAGGCCATCTCACCGTGTACCTGCAGGCTGGCCGTGGTCTCGGACGACGACGCGGCCATCGGCGGGGGCGTGACGAGAACAGTGAGGCTGGATGCTGCACTGCCGCCGGCGCTGCACAACAGCAGCCTCTTGCCGGCTTCGAGCATCGACGAGAAGTGGCCGGGAGCCCACATCGGGAGGAGCACGATGGTTGGGCTCGGCATGTCGTCGTCTATTCCTCGACGAAGGACGTGCAGCATCCGTGAGATGATGCACGTTGTTGGTCCAGACAAGGTAGTAGGTACTGTACAGTAGAGACCTCCAGAGGCAGACCCCGAGCAAGAAATCTGACCGTGCACACCACTGTGGTCCAGCTTAATTACACATCGTATTCAACACACATGTCAAAAAATGCAAATACAGGTGCTCACACAATTAGCTAGTCAATTACTACTACTTCAGGTTGGCTGTAGCACCGATAGCTGTGGGGGGACGGGTAGGATAACGATGCGACCACAAGGAGCCGCCGGTCCGTGTTGACAACGTGGCGCAGGCGTCACTAAGTTTGTGGACGCTTCTACGCTAAGTCGCTAATGGAGGCATCAAGTGCATAAATGGCACACGGTGAAAGCTGACATTTTGGCCGAGAATAGCGCTACAATGGGAGATGCGTGTTGATGACTATGGCCAAATGGATACCGATGATCTGGCTGTCCACACGAAGATGCCAAATACTGTAGACAGCTAGCTACGTTTTCTAGCTAGTTAATGAGGATCGTCAGCAGTTAGGCGTTGGCCCACGAGCTCAGAATGTGCACGCCCGATGGGCGGAAGAAGTCGTTGGTGAGACGGACGGCCGGGCGCGATTGAAACGGGTGAGGTGGGCGTCGGGGCACTCGCCATGGGTGTCTAGAGCTCTCTACTTGGCAAGGAAGATGGCCTAGTGCTGCCGTCGTTGGCGTTGCTGGAGATTTTTTTCTTATCTTTTTAACACGGCTGCACGGATTTGGGGAGAGGAGACATGTGGTGAAGAGAGAGGGGTCGCCGGGTCGGGGTCAAGTGGGGGCACAACGAATGGTTGTCCTTTGAGAAAGGGCATAAACCGTTCGAGCAAAATGTGTAACAGCGCAAGCTGACCAAATGGTGCCATACATTTGTAAAATCTGACAGCACAGTGGTACTAATGGGCTCGAACACTTGATTCTCGACGCATAAGGGACGTAGATTTTTTAGATGGCAGAGATGAAAGAGTAACCTTTTTTTTATGGTACACAATACAAAGGGACGTGAGAGAAAAAGATACTTCTTTTGCAAAGTTATCTTATAAGACAAAACCTAGAAATATTGAGATAGCTTATGCACCATTCAATATTTTTTTTGTCACGTAAATCGCAAGTTAAGGCGCAACGGGTCGCGCAATCAACCTCCTGATGTGCCCCTCCTCCACCGCCCATGCCTCCTCTCCCGCCGCAATCGGCCACGGTTGCCACGTCGCCGGTCGGCCCGCCCACCATCAGCCCCTGCCTCCTCGACCCCACCCTCCACTAAACTCAAGGAAGTCGCCGGAGCTCCGCTGTCGACCACGCCCTCGCCCCCCCTAGCGGCCGATGGCGAGCCGCCCGCCACGCCACCCACAACCCGCCCCCACCCCTTGAACTCGCTCACCCTAAACACATCACCTCGCTAGTGAGCCCCGCCACGACTTCCCGCCGCCAACCCCGCCCAACCGGTTATCCTGTGCCGCCTGCTCAGCGGCACCGCCGCCGCCTCGCTCGCCGCCCTTCAACCGACCACCACCGCTGTGTCGCAACCGCCTCCTCCCGAACCTCCTTCTAGAGCCGCCGGTGTTAAGCTTCCCGAATCCCGTTGGAACCCTAACGCCGACGAGATGCTCGTCTCCGACGCCGACGACCTCCTTCTTATTCCTCCCAGCGCGAGCTCCTCCTTCCGGCGTGAGCAAGGGTGGGAGCGGACGCGTGGGCCGGCGTGTCGTGCGGTCACGCCCCAGCACGATGGGTCGCTTAATAGATTTTGCGTTTATAAATTTATTTAGGAGTTGCAAAGTTTACTATTAGGTAAGTAGACGCGGTTCGCTGCGCCCTACTTCCTCTGTCCCATAATGCTTGTCGTCGTAGGAGTTGGAGGAGATTACCAAAGAAGCCAACAAATGACCTGGTTGCCCCTACTTCCTCTGTCAAAAAGCTGCTGCTGTGAATGGACATGTAGAGAGAGGGTGCCGAGCAGATACAGAGTGAGCGGGTGCCGAGCACATGGGCCAAAGGCTGCTGCGCATGCACTGATGGAGGAAGCAAGCTAAAACGTCATATATTTTGATACTTCTTTTGAACGCTTGGACGTCCAGTATTCTAGGACGGAGGGAGTATCTTATTTGTTTATACGGTGATCGTATTCTGTTGGTGGTGTTGTTTTTACGGTTGTCTTTGTTAAGTTTGGTCTAGCCGTTTCCTGTGATGGACAGACAAGCTAGTAGGTACAGTACAGACCAGAGACGTCGAGAGGCAGACCCCTGCACGAAATCTGACCGCGCACGCCACTGTCCAGCCTACACAAGTAGTACACATCGTAGACATGTCAAAATGCAACTAATAGCTGCTCACCGTTCGCTCCTGCAGTCCTGCTTGCAGCTGCAGCAGTTATCGCTACAGTAAAACACAGTTCAAAATTTGCAGCCGCAGCCAGAGCAGCTGCAGCAGCCGCTGTCCAGGATTGGCTGTAGTACCGATAGCTGTCGGGGCGGGCAAGGGCACTCCCAACCCACAAACCACGTGCAGTCTGTTCGGGAGGCCGTATCGGATCGTGGATTATTTACTGCTGGCTGGTTTGGTGTGAGAGAAAAACACTGTTACCGGCTGAAAATTTACGATCGTTTATGAGCAAGCGAACAGGCTGATGGTTTCTGATGTCAACTAACCAGAAAATGACGCGACACTGTGAATTAAGGAACAGAGATTAGGAAATTATTTCTTAATAAGAAACCATGTCTACACGGGAAGCAAGATATGAAGAGATGTCCATATTCGCTTGAACTTATCAGTCCGGCTTATCAGACATGGTATGGTATTTTCTCTCACAACAAAACAGCATCAGCCAGCTCATCAGCCGTAAAAACCATCAGCCGAACAGCTCTATGATAGGTAGATGAATGAGAGTGTTAGAAGTATTCACTCCGACAATACGGATCAGCGTATATGCGCACAAGGAATCAGATGGGTAGCACACAAAATACAGGATTTATACAGGTTCAGTTACGTGGTACCCTACGTCCAGTTTGAAATAGATCTCTCTCTATTTGTATGCTCGGTTACATAGGTTGCTGATTATAGCTATGTGATAGATGCAAGTAATGGAATGCCGATCAGGGGGTCCCTACCCCTTCTTATATAGGCTGAGGGTAGAGTTACATGAGATCTGATAGGCTACCAATTGTATGTTTCCTAGTTTGTTACTTGGAAAGCGTAACAAATCATTCGATCATATCCCACAAAGAGTGAAATGCAAGCTATCAACGCTTGGTAACTTGATCATCACGTCTACTGTTGCGTCCGGGGTACATGGGCCTCATATTGGTCATCTTCGGCCGTGGGTCGAAATACAGGCGGTGTGGTATCACGGTCCCATATATCCAACAGAGAGAAGATATGTGATTGGACAAAACATCATTCTGTAGAAACTATTTGTGACACAACCGTCTAATCTAATGCCTTTCAGGAGTACTTGTCTTCCATTAGACACTAAGTACCCAAGAGATGACACCAAACTACGTAGTTCCATCGAGCACACCTTAAGGAAGAACTCGAAAATCCATATTTTTCCATCAGGATCATAAATGAGAGAATAAAGCTTACAACATTCTTAAGTTATTTCTTACATCACTTTATTACAGTACTAGAATATTACCTCAATTGATTATAATTGCGGAATATAATAATGTTATCAGAGTTACAGAGGAAACATGATTAATTTTATGACATGGTGGAGGACTAACGTAGTGGACATTTTTATACAAGAGATGCCAACAGATTTTACATCTTTTCTTATAAAAACCTTTAGTGAAGGTTATAAATAAACACTACGGTCGTAGCATGAAAGAAATCATCTCTGAGCCCACCAAGAGGGTTCCACACATAAGAGTCAGCTCTAAGTATTTTTGTGGCAGAACCACCTAAAATAACGTAATTACGGGGGCGCTTGTCTTCCACTAACACTAAGCACCCCGAAAAAAGCAAGCTACATCGGGCAGGTTTCATCGGGCACACCCCAAGGGAGAGCCCGAAAAGTCCACATTTCTCCCCAAAGATTCAATAATAAGAACGAGTTACAATACTTAATCCATTTCATACATCCAGAGTTCTTAGAAATATATTATTACAGTACCAAATTCAGAGTGCGGAATATTAAACAGCAGAATGATAATAAACATCTATCGATAAAGAATAAGGATCCGTCTGAGCCCACCAGAAGAATCCTTCATACAACGGATGCTCCTCAAGTTGAACCTGCAACAGGGGTAAATAAATCCTGAGTACACAATGTTCTCGCAAGACTTATCCGTCCAGTGGAAATAATTTCCTGACTCCAAGGGATATCATAAGTTTTATGGTTTGCTGGATTTTTTTTAAAAACAATTCTAATAGTGAATCCTTATTGATGTTATCATTAGCAGTCATGATTATTTTATTATCTAGCCATTCTATGTAAGCACATGTTCTACTTGCAAGCAAGGGTTGAACAATCAGTTCCATTTTATCACCTTTCATCTTTCAGTTCTTACTACGGTAGTAGACTGTAGACAAGCCGTACCGGAATGTCGGTGATTCGTGAATCAATGCCCCCAGCTAGGTACCTAGAAAACACATGCCCCGCTTGTACCTCGGGCACAAGCAGGACTAGCCCATCACTCTCCTGTCATGGGGTCTAGGTCCCCGTCCAAACTTGGACTCCAAGCCTCCGCTCCTAAGTTTCGGACTCAGTGCAGTGCTTAGACCTCCACCATCCCTGTCTCCAATCAGTCGATCCGGAAAGAGCCGGAACCCATGACAAGAGAGCAACAAGCATTCCCTGTGCCCATACCCAAGTATGTGCTCGGGATAATAAATCTGTGACCTGCCTAAAACCCAATGCAACGGTCGGTCCTTAATCGACACAAACAAAAAAAAGTGTAACCAAGCTATGC